CCCCAAAACCCCAAAACCCCAAAACCCCAAAACCCCAAAACCCCAAAACCCCTTAAAGAAGCAAAAGTATTGAGAATTCATAATATTTTATATAATAGAGTAAGCTTTAGTCCAATTCTGTTCCTCCTTCACTCAGAGACTCTATTGAGCCTACTGGATTGTCGATTTAGCTTATCCTTATATTTGAATGAAGAATTATAAGAGTTTTAACGGATTTAATAGAAAATGTCAAAACATTTTAGTAAGAAAATCTCTATGAGAAATCCCAAAGGCAAGGCTGAGTTTAAATGAAATTGCTGCCAGATCAAGTTTTCTACAAGATACAGTATGGAAAGACACATGAGACTGAAGAATAATAGGATTAAGAACTACGAATGCCAATACTGAGGTTTGGAGTGAGGTGGAGCTATTTTCTTGGAGAAGCATCTTAATGCCCATACTGAGATCTTTAAATTCAAGTGAGACCAGTGAGATAAAAGATTCAAAGACCAGAAGAGGCTTAATTGTCATGTTCCTCACTGAAACAAGTTCAAGGAAATGGCGCAGAGAATGAATATTGCTCACCCTGCTCCAAAAAGTTATAATATAACCTCCTCCAAACTAGACTGCTCTGAAGGTGCTTTTGCTTCCAAAAGGATTCATTCTCACTACATTGATGCATCAAGAAAGGATACCTCTGTGGAGAGTTCTAATGAGGCAATTGATCATAGTTTGGCGAATAATAGTGCTTCTGAGAAAAGCTACAACCTCTCTGATGTAACCCCATACAATAGCGATCTCAACCGTACGGTCGAGAAGATAATGGATGTCAGTCATGAAGGAATCACTGATAGAGTAGGTGGAAGGAGCCCAGTCCTCAGTCTTAATGACATCTCTGATATCTTTAACAAGAAAAATAAAGAGACTGAAATCGTAAGTCCTAGTTATCCCTTAGTTTTTATGATCTTACTAATTATGTATCTTATTTTTACTAAGCTGGTTAAGATATTTGCATTTAAGTTAGTATGCTTACTAATATTGCTCTAGGTTCAAAATTTGGTAAAGATTCAAAAACCTGTAGCCACTAAGCCAAAGATCTCATCAAGAAAAGGATCATGCTGGAGCGAAATATCTTCTAAGCCAAAGCCAGATACTTGTTCAGTCTCTACTCAGACTGAAGATCTTACTCAAGAGCACTGAGTTTGCTGGAGCAAGGAATTGTTCAATTCTTATTTATACTATCTATCACAGTCAGTGTACCAGCTTTCTGCCAGCATTCAAGTAGGAAGGGCTTATAACTATTAATTCTTATGCTTAAACAGTTTCATAAACGTCTTCTTGTGCCTAGTTAGTCTAAATAAATTTAGGTTTACTCTAAACGAATTGCTCAATATTGAAATTTAATTAGGGGTTTTGGGGTTTTGGGGTTTTGGGGTTTTGGGGTTTTGGGG